GAGAGAGAGAGAGAGAGAGAGAGAGAGAGAGAGAGAGAGAGAGAGAGGAAAATAGAAAAAAAAAACTGGGCTGACCCCACCCCCCTTTTTCTGATTGGGAAGCCAACCTTTTGTTGGCCTAGCTGACCAATGGGAAGGAGAGCAAAAATCCAGCCTGGGTGCTAGGAGCCTGGCACTGGGAATCCGGCGGTGGAAGGAGGAGGTGGGCCGGCTGAGCCCCACCACACAGCCTCCAGAATCCCAGCACCCAGGCCCCCGACTTTCCTAGTGTCCTGTACCGGCTCAGTCTGCCTGCCCCTACCAAACCACAAGCTCTCTCTCTTTCCTTGTTTAAATAAAAGAACTTCAAGAGTTGAAATATATATATTTAGATATTTTTCTTAAATAACATATTTACATCTAATAGAAAATAGAAACTCTAGATAATTTTCCAACCAGAACTGAGGAGGGAGGAATGAAAGGGACTCCAGGGGGACCTTGTGGAGTTAAGGACAGGACCAACCAGAAGGCCACAGCCACTCAGAAATAAAAAAAAGCACTAAGCCACATTGGAGCTCACTCTCCCCTGCTCTGGTCCTGGGCTCCCCATCCCAGCCATTCATCTTTTTTCCTTAAAGAAGCCTTGGTCCGTGTTACTCTCCTTTATGGTGACGGTCAAAAAGTTTGAGGTCACATCTGTGACAACCACCTTCTCCAGGTTAGTCAGCGAGGGGCTCCAGGACTCTTCCTCTGGGTCCCCCAAGATTCTGGCCACTGGAATCCTGGCGATGAGGGAGGGCCTTCCCCCTTGAGCCCCCATGTCCCGATACAGGCTTCCCACTGAGCCTGGGGTACCTGAACTATGTCGAACCCTGGGGCCACCAGGATCCAGGGCACTTTGGCCTTTGGCCTCCAGGAAAGCAGCCCTGGGCTTTATCACCCTGGCCGGAAAGGTGTCCACAGCCAGTTTGCCCGAGGCCTCTGCCGAGCTAGGGCTGGTCACGCCATATTGTACCAGGTCTGAGTCCTGCCTTCGAGCAAGCTGGATCACGCTGTGGCCCGCGGGGAATTTTCCTGTCGCAGAAGAGGTGTCATCCAGTTTCCGGCCTTTGAGGTATTCTCCAAGGCCATCACTGGGCTCTCCCAATGGCCTCTGGGAAGGGTCTAGGAGCTCCTTCCGGGGCTTCGGTCCTCGCTTCTTGGAGCTGTCCCCTGGCGAGTTGGGCTTGTCATCTACGCGGCTGGCACCTCTTTCTCGATCTCTGTCCCGGTCCCGAGGTGGATCTGCCCTGCAGGTACTGGTGCTGCTCCCTGGTGGGGACAGACCTGTGTTCCGAAGGCCCTCTCGGGCCCTGGATGTAGATGCCAAGTCCTGGGGTGATCGGCCTGGGTACGGGATCCGGATTCCTCTGGCAGAATCACTTCTGAATTCATAGGTTTTAGCCTTTGCCTTGGCCTGGGCCTGCAAAGAGAAGGCAGTGAAAAGAAGGAAGCAGAGCCCCGCCCCCCACGTCCTCCAGTCTGGACGGCCCAACTTCCCCCAGATGCCTGGGAAATTCTAATTGGGGTGGGGAGGTGGGCTTAATGATTGTGGTCTGGGGGAGGGGAAAGGGGGTTTGTCTGGAAGCAGCCATTTGCAACCAACTTGTAGTTCATTATAGGTCTACTTGAGATGGCTAGAGGGAGAAATAAAGGTCTTCTGGTGTAGCTAAGTCCCACCTCCTTGATGCTGCCACTGACTTGACCAGAAGACTCCCAGATCACAGACAAGCACAGGGTATGGACACCCACTGATCGTTTCAGAAGCCCTCCAGGTCCCCTTTGAATGTCACACTCCACCACTGGAGACTGCCACATACCTTGAGAAGAAAGGTTTTAGGCTTGGGCCCTCGCTTTTTGGGGCCATAGAGCTCCATCTCCCGTTCCCTAAATAAAGAAAAGGAAAAAAGGGGGTGTGTCCTGGCGGCACCGAAGTCAGCCTATATGGGTTCCAGGGAGTAGCTGGGCTAAGGGTCTGTACCTTTCTTCAAAGGCTGCAAGCAGGCGAGCATCCAGAATATTTTCTTCGGGCTCCCACGTGCTGTACCTATAGGAAACCAGGAAGAATCTGGCATCAGTCCCTGAAGCAAGGAGAGAGAGAGAGGAGGGAGCAGAGGGCGTGTATGTGTGTGTAACTTTTCCGGCTGCCTTGTGTTGTATTCCAGTGTAAAGGGGAAAAGAGGAAGAAAAGAACCCTCCTCAATATCAGTGTGGGGTTGCGATTGCATATAACCTACTTACTTCTGCGACCAGCCCTTCCATTTCACGAGGTATTCCATGCGTCCCTGTGGATGCAAAACGGGAAATGTATGTGTGTGTATGTGCATGGAGAGGAATGCAAGACGAGGACACAAGAAATACACGCGAAAATGCATGCACCAAATGAATGCTCCAAACACTACCGCCAAAGGCACCAGCCCGCTGCAGCACTCCTGCAGAAACGCTGCACAAAGTGCATGCACCGGCATTCATTTCCCCCACCCCGCCCCCCATCCATGCAATCTGTGCACCGCTGCAAGTCTAAGAGCGCAGGGGCAGAGCCGCCGCCGCCGCCACGGCCGCGGCCACTGCTGGGACCTGGGGGAAGGGAGGCTGGGCTGCAGCAGGGGGAGGGAGCCCGGGCCCTAGAAAGGGAGGGCCCGCCGCGCCGCCGCCGGCTGTCCCCGTCACCTACTTTGCGAATACGCCGCTTCAGGAGGGCTTCGGCCGCGAACACCCGCTCCCCCACCGCCGAGAGCTCCATGTTGACTCGCCGCTTCCCCCCTCGGCCGCTTCCAGGAGCAGAAAAGCAGCAGCCAGCACTCGACAGCCCATAATACTCTCCCGCTGACGTCAGTTCTCCTCCCTCCCTGCTCGCCCTCCCTCCCTCCGCCCCCGCCCGGCGCTTCCTCCCGCCCCACGTGTTGCTAACGACGTTGCTAAAGCCGAGCGGCCTAGGCCGGTTCTGCAAGCGCTGATTGGACCAGCGCCCGGCCACGCCCCTCTCCCCGTCTCCCCCGCGTTGCTACGTGACCCGTGTTTCAATCGCCAAGGGGCGGAGTCTCAAGCCACTCCAGAGACCAGGGGGAGGTGAGGGGGGGGGGGGGTTTGCCGTCAGCGGAAGTGACGCGCGGCAGGGCGGGCTGGGCCGCTGTCAGTCTGCACGGCTAGCCAGAGGGGCCGCTGCCCTAGGCTCCGGCCCCCGACCCTTCCTGCCCTGCCGCCAGGTGGTTCCCTGGGTGCGTGGCGTGTCCCCGCCGAGCCCTCTGGGCTCCACGCTTAGGTCCCAACTAGGCGCCGCCCCTCTGCAGACCCAGACCCTCCCCACCCGCCTCTGCCCCGCCGACGCCATCCCCCCCCCATCCCCCGCCGCTAGTACAGCACAATGCACAGGTACTGGGGCGCAAAGGGCCGCGCCCGAATCCACGGACCTACTGCGCACTGGCGCCGAACCCACTGGTTCCCTGACCCCTCCCTTGCGGCCCGCGCACCCTCGGTCTCCTTGGCAACGCCCCCTCCCTCCATCGCCAGCCCCGTCCCGCTAACAAATCAATGTACCGGCTCTGGGTCTCCAGTCGCACAGCGTTGCCCGCGCCCACCCTCCGGGCCCGGCGAGCCAAGCCGGAGTGGGCACTTCCCCGGGCTCAGAAAAAAGCAGACCAGTGCCGACTAGTGCATTACCCCCTGAACCCACCCTGGGCTGAAACCCTGCAGTAGCGGTCGCGTGCCTCTTCTTCCCACCCCCATTGTCCCCAAGCCGCAGCCACCTGCCCCTGCTCCAGCCTTCTCCTCCCGCCCACTCCACTCCTCGGTTGTGGGAGAAACCAGCCCTAAGCTCGCCTGGGTCGGCCTGGGTGGATTTAGTGCACAGATGACCACCGAGGCAGAACGTAGAGATTGATTAGTTCGGTGGGGGCGAGCTGCTGGGGGCGCGGCGGGCCTGCTCCAGACCTGGGTTCATAGCTAGAGCATTTCCTGTCTCGGGCTCTTCTCGACGACCTGTGCGGAGGACATCCGACAAGAAACATCGGCGTTGAAGTTGAGGAGAGTAGTGGTATCTAGTGCGGCCTTGAAGAGAGGGTCCCCCACGCGAAGATGACGAGTCCCTGGTAGGAGGCGAGGGTCGCGCAGAGGTGCCTCGGTCCCTCCCGCACGTGCACGCACTTGCGGACTCCTCATCCTAATCTCTCCTTCCTCCGCGCTTGATAACCCCTGTTGAAGCCTGGAGGCTCAGCAGCAGCTACCCCCACACTTTACTTTAACCACCCAAGCTCCAGATCACAGAGCCCGACTCCTTGGAACACACAATTTAGTTAAATCGCGATTATCAACTTAACTGTAAACAGTTTTTCCCCGGCCAGGGGGGAGATAGAAGAAAAAGAGAGAGAAAGAAGAACGATGAAGACGGTAAATCAACGAGCCAAGAAGTCTGGTTCGAAGGGCAGGAAGCCCAAAGCGCAAAGTTGTCCTCAGGTTCAAGGCGCTGCGCACTTCACGCGCGGGTGCTGGCCTTGGGGCAAGCGTGGAGCTAGGCTCGCTGCACAGCTCCTCCCCAGGTCTCCTCTTGCCTCAGCGTCTGACCTCCAGTTTTTGGCCTCGCTCCCTGACAGTATAAGGTGTGCTCCAGGCGAGGAGTCCCATCTCTCTGATTCTTAACGAACAGCTCATCCACGAAGCCCAGATCGCCCCGGTGACCCACGCCCGCCGCCTTCAAGAGGCCGCCGACGGCCGCGTCCTTAATCATAAAAAGTCATTCCCGGTAACAAATAGTTTCGTCGGCCGGTGCCAGCAATACAGCTGTTTCTGTTTAAGCTTAAATACTTTCCAACAGTTTGGGCAGTAAAAATAAAGTCGGCCTCAGCCGCCTATAAGTGTCTGGTTTCCCCGCCCAGAGAAAGCCCACCCTAGCCCTCGGCCCGGGTCGTTCTAGTCGCTCCGCCTGCCCGCGCTTGGAATCCGCTGCTCGCCGCAGGCGTTAGCTGTCGGGCCACCCTAACCCTGAGCTTAGCGGGGGCCGCGGCTCTGCAAGCCTGCTTCGGGGCCACCTTGAAGCGGGAAGCAGGGAACTGCGGGGGGCGGAGGTCGGGGACGGGAGGGGATCAGCTCGCCTCTTCGCCTTTTCCCACTCCTGGGAAGTTTGCCCGACAAGAGGAAAGTAGTGGTTTCCCTTCAGCTTGGGTTTCAAGGAGAACGCTGTCCCCAGGTTGTGCGTGCCCTCCAGTGCCTTCACGGACCTGGGATTTTCAGGAGAAGAGGCTCATCCGTTGCTGGTTTCAGTTTCATCCAACAATCTCCAACTCTCTTTCATTCCTGTTGTTTTCCCCCCTCCCTCCTTTCTCTCCTCCCTCCCCCTCCTCTCATTCCTTAAACTGTAGTTCTTTACTTAATTAACCTGAGAATTTGACGTGAAGGAAGAAAACCCCTGGCTTTTGCTACCCCTAATGAAATAAGTTTGTGATTGCTTTCTTAGCTCCATTTTCCCCTAGTCTTTATGCTTGATGGTAATTCTTCCCCAACAGCTTGCTCAGTACAAAATTAGTGCTTGGGAGTTGTCTGAGTTAAAAGCCTGGTATTCCCACAGAGCCCATTGCAAAGTTGGAGCTGGATTCAAGAGCAAAGAAAAGGCATAGAATAATCAGAGGTTGGAGGAAACTTGGTTCCTGTCTGTAGCAGAAGAGTATGGTCCTTCAGTGGATCTTCTCGGAGGAGGTGGGATGTTACTTTTGCACGGATGCAACCGTGCTTCCAACTGCAGGAGCTGGAACAGGTTGCAGAGGTGTCAAATCTGGTCTCAGGGTGGTCTCACCCCTGGACAGTTTAGAAACAAAGGAAGAAGTGGATATCTGAGGGTTGGGGTCCGATTAGGCAAGAATGGGAAGATGCCTGTGTGTGCCAGGAGGGGGCACTAGTATATGCCCTCATTCCAACCAAGTCTGTACGGATTTGGGCAGCTCAGCTGTTAGCGCCATCCTTGGAGCCAAGGCAAGAAGGCTTGCCCACAGCCCACCTTTTTTTTTTTTTTTTTAATTGAAACCTCCCCTGCCCACCGGCTCAATTCTCCACACCTTTTCTCTCTCCACACAAGGCCTTTTCCCTTTCAAGTTAAAAAAAAATCGCTGTTCCCTTGTGCACCTCCCAACACTAAACAAAAGTTTCAAAGAACAAGAACCCGCTGCTGTTAATCCCACTTCTAGGCAGTTGCTGCTGTCAGGTTTGCATGCGCCGCCTCTGCAGTAAATAAGGTAACTGCTTCCTATTACTTTAGCCCATATGGCTGCAATTTGAGTGTCTTTGGAGACAGTGAGTGTGTAGGAGCGGGGAAGGGAGGGGGGAAACGCGGGAGGGGGGAGTGAAAGTGGAAATCAAATGCTCTTAGATCGCGTTCTTATGAAGGAGATTGTCTGCGAGTCTCTTAACAGCCCCCGGCTCCCAAGATGAACTGCCTGGGTTTTTGTTGTTGTTGTTTATGGAATTGCAGGCACCCGCTTGCCCGGGGACACCTGCTACCGCCAACACACAAGCACACACACACACACACACACACACACACACACATATGGGCCTATTCCTTACCGGTTTAGGTGGCCGAGTTTGCCACTGCTCTTCTCCACCAAGAGCTCTTAGAATGGGCCAGGCGCCCGCCCTTCGGTCCTCTCCCTCCCAACCCACCGAAGTTGCCTAGACTCCCCTGGAGCCAGACTTGCACTGCAGGCCTGCGTCTGGGGCCACTTAGGCCTGTATGTGTTCGCTGTCCAGCGACTCAGCCTCCCAGGAGGGAAACCCGAGGTTGGTGCGGTCCAAGGGAAGATGGGCGCGCCGGGTTGGGCGCTCGGATTCTGGGTCCCCGGCCAGACCAGCAAGCCCTAGCGCGTCCTGCAGCTTGAGGCTGAGGCCAGGCCTCGGCTAGTTCTTTGGGTACGTTTCAACTGCGCGGCTTGGCGGGCGTCGGACCTGCTCGGTCTTGGCCACGCGCACGCGGGCGGATTTGGAGCTGTGAAGTGAGCAAGAGCGGTTCCGAGGCGTGGCCATCTGGATCATGGCCTCTACAGGGCCCATGGCCCGTGGCTGACCTCCTGCCGACCTGGAGCAGAGCCGGATCTGCCCGCGGTGTCCACTCCTGTCTTGCCGTCCCACAGCCAGGCTGTGTGCCTGCTGAGTGGATTGCCGCCTGCCGCCAGAAAGTGGTAGCGACTACCCGATGCTCTAGACAGGTCCGAAGGCCTAGTCTGTGCAAGCTGACTGGGATTTCTGGAGGAAGCTCGTTTTTAGTTCCCAGAGCAAATCTGGTCGTTTTTGTTTGTTTTTTGATTTGTTTTGTTTTTTGCTTTTTTTTTTTTTCTGTTCTACAATCTCTCTTTACTCCTAGGGACGAAGAATGGGCAGTGCTGAACAAGAAGGGTTGACCACCCCGATAGACGGGTCCTCCACACACCAAAAACCACACAGCCTTTCACTCTCACACACACACACACACGTACATGGGCACACGGACATAGAGACACACAATACCCTTTCCATGGGAGAAAGCACTGCAAATTAAGCCCATCTATTGAACAGTTGCTATGGCCCTAGCCCTTGCCCCAGCCACTCAGAGAATCCAAGGAACTCAACTCTCCAGTCCCTACCTATAGGTAATACTGAGGCATGCTCAGGCCAAGACACACAGCACCAAGGTGCTGCTTGGGTAGCTCATACCCCCTTCACAGGAGGGTCTTTTTGGAACTCTTGGGACATTGTAATTCCCCCTAGGCTTAAGGAAAGAATTGGAGATAAGAAAGGGCTTGAGGTCAGGTCCTGGGTTGGTTGCACAAGCTCCTTAGCAGAGCCCTCAGCCATAAGGTG